GCTTGGTTGTTAACAGCTTTGTATGTTAGGAGGAATATTTTAAATTCTATTCTATAAAATGTTGAGGTCTAAAAACCATAACCTCTGTCTTATCTGAGTTTAGAAGCAGAAAGTTGAGTCATCCATGTTTTTATGTCTGTAAGACATGCTTGTAGTTTAATAACTGGTTGAATTCATCAGGTTTCATGGATAAATATAACTATCATCAGTGTAACAATGGACATTTATCCCAATTCATCCCGTTTAATAACTTTATCTAATGGAACCATATATAAAGAGGATTGGTCCACGCACTGAACCCTGAGGAACTCCATGACTAAGATTCACTATTAATATTAACAAACTGGAATCTATCAGTTAAATAAGACTTAAACCAAAGTTCTGCCTTGTGAGATGAAATAATAGAACATGAAAGTCTTTTCAGTTATTTTTGTGACATCATGAGTCACAGTAAAGCTTTATTCATCCACACTTGTTTTACATGGCAACCCTGTTACAGCATCAGTTTTTAGAAATGTGTACAGACTGGTTGTACAAAACTCCTAACTTTAAGAAATACAATCTTTGTTTCCCTCAGCTCCACAAATGTTTCTGACTGGACGATCATTTTGGGACGTCTGAAGCAGAATGGATCAAACCCCTTTGAGGTGTCTTTAAATGTAACAAACATCACCATGAGCAACCTGACAGGGACCAACATTGCTGTGCTTAATCTGTCAGCTCGACCCACTCTAAACAACTACATCCAGCCTGTCTGTCTGGACAACACAAGAACGTTCCCAGTGGGGTCCACCTGCTGGGCTGCTGGGTGGAGCTCGGGCCAAGGAGGAGGTGAGTCCAAAACCCAGAGGCTAACACAATAATCTTAGATGTCTCAGAATAAGCATGGCTTTCAGGTCTAATAACATTTTTTAAAACTCTCTTAACTTTAGTAGAAGAAGTTCTGTTGGAGTTCCAGACGTCAGTGGTGGACTGTGGGAATATCTCCATCAGTGACAGAATCTGTACAGAATTCTTTAAACTGGAGCAGGTAAAACGTTTTTCTAATGTAACGTTACCAACTACTTATCGACCTGGCTTTATACTCTACAAATGTTTTTCGTTAGACTGCTGTGTGAGTCGTCCTGGGTGGAGTTGACATGTTCTCTTTGTGCACATGTCGATTTTCTCCCACAGACTAAGAACATGCAAGTTAGGGTTAGGAGAGTGTAAGGTTGTCTCATCTGTCTCTATGTGTCTCTGTGATGGACTAAGACCTGTCCAGGGTGTCCCAGTGACCCCTGCAATCCTGAAAGGAAGACGTAGGTACAGATGATGGATGGATAACTAACGTGTTTTGTTGGCTTAGAAAAGTATGAGTTAGGGTACAGACAGGTCCATCAAACAGTCCTTTCTGCACACAAACAAAATAAAGAATTGATTTTCCAGTAATTCAGATTCATCCTTCAGGTATGGTCCTAATCACAGAGCTTATAAAGATATCTGTATAATATCTCTAGATGAAATAAGACAAACACATTAAACTGTAAACTTGTGGTTTTTACTCTAAAGTATTCCTCTCACTCAGCACGGGAGGACAAGAGATGTCGAGATGTCAGTCTGGTGACAGAGCTAGAGCTAATTTTGTGTAGACGATGTACCTATTGTGTTAAAGTCAACTTCATCTGTCAGTCTGCTGGTTGAACAACATTCCTTCTCTGACTCATGAACAGAAAATATCAAGTTACTGTAACATTACAGATAAACTTAGCTTCARAGATCACAGATAATGTTCAGCTCCTGTGCTCACGTGAAGACTAGACTAATGAGTTTGTTAAAATATTTAGTTCTAATGTTGCTCAGACATTTATCTTTTTCATATTGAACAAGAAGACCATTGAACAGGAGAAAACTTAAAGATTTTAACAGCTTGTCTAGCCCCATCCCTCGGGCCATAATTTGAAACTACAAGAGTTTGTCATCATCATCAGCATCTGTCCGTCTCAGAGGACGATAGTGTAGCTCTTGTAGAGTTCAGGCTGTGCAGACCAACTCGAGTGAGTCTCTGCTGCATCTGGTGCAGGTGAATGGAGTTGCTGCTGAGGCTGTTGTTGGGTTTCCTTCTGCCTGACTCTCTTTTGGGTGGCAGCTTTGACCTGTGCCTCCTCTGCGTTCTTTGTGCTCTGTCTGGTGGTAAGTCTCCAAACTCTGCTGCTGTCTGCTTGGCTCTCCCATGAATAGACATCATTGGTTCAGGTCTTTCTGGTAGACATCCTTGTAGCACAGTTTTGGGCGGCCAGTCATACTGGTGCTTTCTACCAGCTCACTATAGAGGAGGTCTTTGGGAATGCAGCCTGCATCCATCCTTCAAACATGGCTGAGCCACCGTAGGCACCTCTCACAAAGTGKGGCATGCAGGCTGCTCATACTGGTGTGTTCCAGCACCTCTGTGTTAGTGATCTTGTCCTGCCACTTAATATGGAGGATGCAGTGCAGACACCTCATGTGGAAGCTGCTGAGTTCCCTTTTGTGACTGGTGTAGGTGGTCCATGTCTTGCTGCTGTAAAGGAGTGTGCTGAGCACACAGGCCTGGTAGACACACATCTTGGTCTTTCCACTGAGGCTGGAGTTGTTCCATACTCTCTGGGTCAGCTTAGCCAAGACTGCTGCTGCTTTGGCAGTTCTGCTCTTCAATTCAATTCAATTCAGTTTATTTCTACAGCACCAAGTCACAACATGCGTTGTCTCAGGACACTGTASATAAAAAGAACAATGTAAAGAAGAAASCAGCAGATTGTGTTGAATCACTTCATCACAGTCTCCCATCCTGAGCAAACGGTGGAGAGGAAAAACTCCCTGCTAATCAGGAAGAAACCTCCAGCAGAACCAGGCTCAGGACAGGAGACCATCTGCCTCGACCGGCTGCTTGGAGGACAGGAAAGAGACACAGACAAACACAGAAGAACTGGTCCAGGACTGGTCCAGGTGCACCTTCTTCTGGAAGAGACAAAGAAAAAACATGATAGAAATAATAAGAATAAACATGTAGAGAAGAGAGACTAAAGACAACAGCAGAGTGAGGAAATGTGCTCAGTTTGTGCTCCAGCAGTCTAAGTCTATAGCAGCAGAAATGAAGAATAATTCAGGAAACCTAAGTCTAACTATAGGATTTCTGAAAAAGGAAAGTCTTCAGTCTAATCTTAAAAGTAGACAGAGTGTCAGCCTCACGGACAGAAACTGGAAGTTGGTTCCACAAGAGAGGAGCTTGATAACTGAAAGCTCTGCCTCACATTCTACTTTTAGAAACTCCAGGAACCACAAGTACTCCTTGACCTCTGCATCAACAGAAAGTGAGCTGGAGATGGTGGACCCCAGGTACATAAAGTGCTCAACAACATCCAGGCTGTATYCGTCAATGGCAATGTTTGGAGGAAGTTCTATGGCCTGTGCCATGACATTTTTCTTCTTCAGACTGATGGTCAATCCAAACTCCTTGCAGGCATGAGAGAAGCGACTGACAAGTTGCTGCAGGCTGTCTTCTGTGTGCGACATCAGGGCCACGTAATCAGTGTAGAGCATCTCACAGATGAGTAACCTTGATGACTTTTGTCTTGGCACAGAGACAGTTCATTTTGAACAGTTTGCCATCTGACCTGGTACAAATGTAGACCCCCCTCACAACAATCMTTAAAGGTGTACTGAAGGAGCATGGAGAAGAAGATGCCAAAGAGCTTTTTGCATGAGGGCACAGCCCTGCATCACTCTTCTACTAATTGGAAAGACCTCTGAKGTTGCGCCATTGTAGCAGACATGCATGTTCTCATGGAATGAAATGACCACTTGGATCAAGCACAGGGGTCAGCTGATCTTCTGCAACAAGGTAAAGAGTTTCGTTGGGCTGATCAGATCAAATGCCTTTGTCAAATCAATGAAGCAATGTAGAGTGGCATGTTCTGCTCTTGGCACTTCTCTTGCAACTGGTGTAGTGAGAAGATCATGTCCGCTGTAGAATGGCCAGCTCTGAAGCCACACTGAGACTCCAGGTAGATGCGGGAGGTGAGGGTCTGCAGACACATTAAGGAAACACAGACCAACACTTTGCCAACACTGCTGAGGAGGGAAATACCCCGGTAACTGTTTCAGTCGCTGCGGTCCCCTTTGTGTACAAAGTGACAATGATTGCATCTTGCGTGTTCTGAGGGATATAACCCTGTCCCTAGCAGAGGCAAAGTAGGCTGTGCAATGGCTGGAGCAATGCTGGTTTTGCAGTCTTCAGGACCTCTGGCAGTTACTGTCGCTCCCCAGGGCCTTCTCATAAGCGAGGCAGTCGATGGCTTYGCTGAGCTCTTCCACAGTAGGTACGGTGTCTAGCTCCTCCATGACCAACAGGTCCAGGATGGCATTGATTGTCAGTGTTGGTGATCTGTGCTGTGTACAGCTCAAGGTGATGTTTGGTCCACTGCTGCATTTGCTTCTCGAGTTCTTTAATGACTTCCCCAGTCATGGACTTGAGGGGGGCAGTCTTTTAGGAGTTGGGCTCGTTGCCTTCTTTATGCCCTTGTGCATCCCTCTAGCATTCCCTGTCTGAGCTGCTGACTGTATACTGCTGCAGAGCCTTAGCCAGTAAGAACTGTGGAGAGCAGTCTGCTGAGCCTTGTTCCCAGCAGTCCTGAGGGGTAGAGTGTGGTGTGGCATGGCTTGACTTTGTAAGCCAGAATGGCTTTCCTCTTCGTCTCAGTTACCAGCTCCATTTCCTAGAGGGCCTCATACTAATCAGCATTGTTCTACTCCTTCTTCCTGTAGGCAGTGATAACAGAGTAGTTCACAGCATCACAGAGGTGGGACCACTTGGAGTCGATGGTGTCATCTGCAAATGTTTCCTCAATCGGGGTCCTTCTAGCTTCCTGATTAACTGCTGAGTTTTCTCTGGGTTGCTGGCATATCAGGTGTTAAGAGAGTTAGTGGTTCAAATAATCCACTATGAAATGTGACACACCTTCAAAAAGCCACAAAATGATCACAAAGTATTCCTGAACTCTTACAAATACTGATGTCAATATTCCTGAATGCTATGTAATTAGTCATCATATCTCTCTGAGGAAGATGCTTTTAGATCAATACCTTCAATGATGAACTCACAGTTCTGACCTTAAAGTGTTTGGTATTGTTCACACTATGTTAAGAAACAAACATTACCTTAAGGAAAGACATTCAGGCATCATGCTGTAGTTTCCAAATTAAGAAAGAATAGGTTTGAGTGACGCAGACTTTGTTCCAGCTGGTTAGGATTAACTTAGCTGTCAGAAGTGTTGATCTACTGGTGGAACAACATTCCTCCTCTCGTTCACTGTCCAGATATGACTGCTTACTGAAACATTATAGCTAAAACATTCTTTCAGTCCAGTCTCTGGAGAGTCTAGAATAACTTTTGAAACTTTTGTTAAGGGATCAGTCTGTCATCACATGATTCTGTTCACTCAGCTTTAATGTTACTCATGTCAGCTCAAATGGAAAATAACTCATGTTGATTGGTTTTTATGAACATTTCCTGTCTTAGACAAAGCTTTTAGTATGAAGTCACAAAAAGAAGTGCTTCAAACATTCCACTGTAAAACAGAACACCAGTTGTCTCCACATTTCAACTGGAAAAAGGTGAAATGCTTCATTTGTGTCGGCGAGTGGAGGACTTCAAGTATATGGGAGTTTGGATCTTGAATGATGGACTGATGGACCTGGACCAGGACCAGGATCAGGACCRGGCCTAGTCTGAAGAGAGTTGCTCTGGTTTGTTGTGGTGAAGGAGCGAAGCTGGAAGGGAGATTTTTAGGTTTACTGGTCAGACAATATTCCAACCCTCCCCTGTTGTCCTGAGGTTCAGATCAGAACTGAAAGAAGCAGATCCTGGATCCAAGCAGCTGAAATGAGTTTATTCATGGGTTAGCTGGGCTCAGCCTTAGAAGTTAGATCAGCWGCGCCCTCATGTGGGGAACTTGGAGTAGAAGCATTGCTGAGTGAAAGGCAGGAAACAGACCGGCAGGTCACCTGAATGAAAATCTGTCATCCTATTCTTTACTCCTCAAGAAAATATTGTTGATATTGTAAAGGAGAGAAACTGATACCAAACTTCCTGTCTTTGTTCCCAGGGGGACTCTGGCGGCCCGCTCATGTGTATTCAGGACGGTTCCTGGTTCCAGACAGCTGTTTTACCATTTTCAGGCACCTCTACCAGGACAAAACGTCAGACAGCTGTTCTTGTTTTTCCAAGTCTGAAAAACTATCAGCCATTTCTACAGATGTCACTGGGCACATTCTTGTCTCCACGCACCATCAGCAGCACCAACGACACCAACACCATCAGCAGCACCAACRACACCAACACCAACAGCAGCAACACCAACAACAACAGCCCCCTGACCACYGCAGCCACCGTTACAGGTGAAGGCAGTCACAATCACCTCTTCTGTCTTCACCTTCTTGTCCTCCCCTTGTGTCTCCAACTCTTTTCATAGAAATGTCCAGGTTGTCTTTAACCTTACATGATGTGCCAGGAACAGATGAATGTATGAAACAGTTGAATTTGACTTTTGGAGCTGGATTTGGTCTTTTTATGTCGGTCATTAGGAGCTGAGTGGTGATGTTAGAGGGAACCAAACAATGATTGGACAAAGGTGGAGAGAAAAGGAGCTGAATTATACAAACAGGGATGAGTGGAAGTTGGAAACAGCTGGGTGATTAAAGAGTAACAACAGGTGTGAGAGAACTGACTGGAAGACACTGAATAATCTGAGGACTGAGATGACAACATGAAAGGAACACTAGAGGCRCAAGACAACACAAAGCACACATGACAGATCCTTACAGTTAGCTGTTGATGGCTTTAAAGTTCTTTTTATTATTTACCTATTTTGTGTTACCTGTAATAATTCTTCTACTTGTTTAAAATAACTGATTTACTCAGAATAATCTGAGTAAAGCTTCTTTGTACTTATTGATTATTAACTTGGTTTTCACACTTTGTGTCTAATCAGGTAATAAATTGATGTTTTTGTTGCAATTTTTTGAYTGAAGAAATTGATTCTTTGTGATTGGGTCTTTGTCTGTAATGCATTTATTAAACTGCTGTAAATTCATATCAGAAGTGTTTGAATAAAAATGTAATGAAACATTTCCATAACAATACAATACATCTTGTACCATTAGGTCAATTGATTTTTCATTGAAAATCACAAATCAAATAATGAAAAAAATGACTGTTTATTTAGTTTATTTTCATTTTTAACACCAAAAACAAAATAATGGATGGATGAATGAAAGGATGGATGGACAGATGTAGGTTGGATGAATGGATGGATGAATGAATGGATGGATGGACAGATGTAGGTTGGATGAATGGATGAATGAATGAATGGATGGATGAATGAATGGACAGATTGATGGATGGATGGACAGATGTAGGTTGGATGAATGGATGGATGGACAGATGTAGGTTGGATGAATGGATGGATGAATGAATGGATGGATGAATGAATGGATGGATGAATGAATGGACAGATTGATGGATGGATGGATGAATGGATGGATGGACAGATGTAGGTTGGATGAATGGATGGATGGACAGATGTAGGTTGGATGAATGGATGGATGAATGAATGGATGGATG